TCGTGACCTTGAAATAACCTTCAAAATTGACCTCAAGGTCAAAACCAATGGTACAATTGAATGACCCCCTCTGTCCTGGTCAACTTTTATCTAAACCATTTTTTTGTAGATACCGTAATTTGGAAGATATTCGGATCCATAGACTAAAATGACTCACCCTGTATAATGAAATGTGGATTTTAGTTTATTATTCATACATTAAGAATACAAGACTGATGTTAAGTTGTAATATTAGATAAAGAGAAAATTATTTATTTGAAGTTTTTTAATTGAAGATATGTAATTCATTTGTTTAAGGTATTCATTAAGCACACACACACACACACACACACACACACACACACACACACACACACACACACACACACACACACACACACACCACAGAGGGTGACTCATTTTAATATATAATTCCGAATATCTCCTAAACTACCCGTTCTACGGGAAAATAGTTGCGACAAAAAATATTCAGGACAGAAGGGTTCACAAACCTGTGCTAATGACCTTCACCTTGAGATGATCTTTCAAGGTTATTTGAAGGTCAAGGTCTTTTTTTCAATAGGAACCCCTATTTTTGACCCTGGATTTGGAAAGAACAGGAAATTTTACGTTCAAAATATTTTGAAAATTTTTTATATGACCTTCAAAAGTCAAATAAAGGTCAAATGTCTGAAAATGGCTGTAGAGCTGTTTTTCTGAGTGATTATGGTTTTTTTAGGATTGACAAGCATTGGAGGAACTTTAAAAAGTAAGTGTGATACGCTATGACCTTCTTGACCTTTAAGTTAACTATGAAGGTCATTTGAATAGACACAACTGTCATTATTGGTCGAACAAAAATCCCCATTGGTACAGAGAAGTAGACCATCAAAATCGATGGAGTCTCATGGTATGGTGCGGAATAGTCAACGGTTACTGTTTCGGATTCGACTGATGTCAGCCGAGGACCGACGTAAAGCGCCGGTGTTGCCTAGCGCAAGGCAGAGGAGTAGTGCGGAGGAGATGAGTAGCCACGAGGTTGGATGGAGACCTCAGTCGTATGATTAACTCAAGTTTTTTGTTGTTGTTTATTAATTTGTCAAGCTATCGGTTCACTGCTCGTCCGGTCTCACATTAGGCGAAAGTCGGAAATCTTCACCGAGCTTATATGCCGAGGGCCTTAAGTTGCGCGGCGGAAATCTTGACGCGTATCGATTCGATACTCAATCGACGGAGATCTTGCCGCGAAACGACGGAAATCTTGACCGCGTGGCCCTGAGCTCGTTTACGCGCGCGGCTGAGACCGACGGCTTACTCTA